CCTTTTATTTCTTTTTGTTGTCTGATGGCTGAGGCTAGCACTTCTAGTACTGTGTTAAACAACAGTGGTGAGAATGGTCATCCCTGTCGTGTTCCTGACCTTAGAGGAAAAGCTCTCAGTTTTTCCCCATTGAGAATGATAATTCACTGTGGGCTTTGCATAGATGGCTTTTATGATATTGAGGTATGTTCCCTCTATCCCTACAGTGTGGAGAGTTTTAATCAAGAAGGGATGCTGTACTTTGTCTATTTTGTCAAATGCTTTTTCAGCATCTATTGAGAGGATCATATGGTTCTTGTTCTTTCTTTTATTAATGTGTTGTAACACATTGATTGATTTGCAGATGTTGAATCAACCTTGCAACCCAGGAATAAATCCCACTTGGTCATAGTGAATAATCTTTTTAATGTACTGTTGGATCCTATTGGCTAGTACCTTTTGTGAGAATTTTTGAATCCATGTTCATCAGGGATATTGGTCTGTAACTCTCCTTTTCGATGGTGTCTTTGTCCAGTTTTGGGATCAAGGTAATGCTGGCCTCACAGAACGAGTTTGGAAGTTTTCCTTCTATTTCAATTTTTTGAAACAGCTTCAGAAGAATAGGTATTCGTTCTTCTTTAAATGTTTGGTAGAATTCCCTTGGGAAGCCGTCTGGCCCTGGGCTCTTGTTTGTTGGGAGATTTTTTATTATTGCTTCAATTTCCTTGCTGGTTATGGGTCTGTTCAGGTTTCCTATTTCTTCCTGTTTCAGGTTTGGTAGTTTATTTGTTTCTAGGAATGCATCCGTTTCTTCCAGATTGCCTTATTTGCTGGCAGATGGTTGCTCATAATACGTTCCTAAAATTGTTTGTATTTCCTTGGTGTTGGTTGTGATCTCTCCTCTTTCATTCTCCATTTTATTAATTTGGGTCCTTTCTCTTTTCTTTTTGATATGTCTGGCCAGGGGTTTATTGAGCTTACTAATTCTTTCAAAGAACCAATCTAAGCCTCTTTTAACTGCCTGATGCCACCCCCCAAATTTCTTCAGCCCAGTCTCTCACTATGTGTCCCTGATCTTGGCCTGTCTGAGTTAGCCTACCTCCCATCCTGCCTTTTGATTGGCAACAGTTCCCAAACTGGAGTGGTGCCTTCCAGGGGCGTCTACAAGTGCAGTCACCAACCCTCTGTGTATTCAGGTGCTGGAACATTTTTAGTCTTATGAACCACAGAGGATCTGATATTTGCTCCCTGGCACGTTTTTAAGGGATTTCCAAGTATGTTACAGCATGAAGGCACGGCAGAACCTTCTGTCACTCCATTTTCAGTCTCCACATGCAGAGGACCAAGCATAGCGTGGCAGGAGTTACTCTGCTTCCAGAGGAGCTGTGCTGCACTGGATAGAAATCTGAAGGCACAGGGCACTGTCTCTGAGCCACAGGAGGGTGTCTCCAGGGGAAACTCTTTTCCTCTCCATTCGTAGCATAACCAGAAAGCGAAATGTTCCAATGCGGAATGGACCAATGTGGAAATGGACCAACGTGACATGGGATCCATGTTGTTAAGCTTTGTAATCTTACCCTTCATTAAATATTCAGCATGGACGATTTGATCTCTTCCTTTTCTCAGCTTCCCCCCTCTTCCTCTGCACCCCCTCCTTCATTCCTCCTCTCTATTTACCTGCCTGCTGGGAAGTGCTGACTCAGGGTCCCTTGCATGTTGGGGACACAGCCAATGGGATGTCTAGACACAGGACGAGTGTACAGATCATCCGCTTTGACTCGGGACTCTATGGGAAGCACAGCTGCAGTGTGGTGGGAGTGGAGAAGCAGCAACCCTGAGACCATCCCAGTTACAGCACAGTAATGGTCAGCACGCCCAACTATGGGCGAGGGACGTGGTTAGGTGCTCTCCTCGCTCCGTGCTGGCAGGGACGGAATGCCTGGCTATGTGCCCTCAAAGAGGTCAGTGGGCTATTCTGGAAAGCTAGCATCCTAGGGAAACCCAGCATTGGTCAGGGCGGCGGGCTCAACCAGTGATTTCTGTGTGGACTGTTACTAGGGCTGGCCTAGTAACATATCGAAGGACGAGAGGCCTGGGTGCAGAATATTCGCCTGGAACAATAGTTTGGAAAGTACGGTGGAAACCATGAGATAGTCATAGTAGTAACAATAGTTTTATATTAACTATTAATTATATGATTTCATATGAACACTTTGGACTGAGCAAATATGACATGTTAAGTGCTCCCTCTCTATTGCCTCATTTAATCATTACAACAACTCTATGAAATAGGTAATATCTATTTTCGCAGAGGAAAACACCAAAGCTCAGGGTTTAAATGGCTTTGCTAAGATGGTTGGGGGCAGACCTGTGAGCCACACCCACTTCACATGAGGCCCATGCGGGCATTCTTTCCTGCCACCTGCCCTGCCCACCGGGCCGTGAGCATGGCGGCAGCCCCAGCAGCAGGGACGAGGCTGGCGTAGGAGTAGAAAGAAGCTCCAACACCCTCCTTCACGCCTCCTGCCCATAGCTACCATCCCCTGGCATTGGCATTGCTATGGAACAAGCCCTCTGGACCCCTCTGGACCCCTCAGCTTCCCCCTGGGATTCTGCCCTTAGAGTCTGAGAAATTCTGGAATGAAGCAAGGTTTGACACACTGAGTCACCTTATGCCAGTTCTCTGGGGCTCTGGTCAAGCCTCAAGGCTCTTAATATCTACATGGAGAGTGCGTCTGGTCTGTGCGGAGTGGGGAACTCAGCTCCAGGACCAGCTGGGTCCTTCCTGTCTATAGTAGGTGTGGAGGGGCAGGCTGGGTGCAAGGATGCAGGCCCTTCTCCCTTCCCCACCTGGGTGCTTGCCCAGCATTCTCCAGCTTGCAAGGGAGGAGTCAGAACTGGGGTCCCTGATTTGTGATCTGATGGTCATTTGTAGTGTCCTTAGAAATACTTTTTAAGGCCACAAGGTGATTTCACCCATTTCTTCTGGTGAGGCTATGAGAAAATCTAAATGAGATATAAAGGCAGTTGTTATTGGAGATGAACTTTCCCAAACAGAGATGACAAGTATTTTTGTAGGGAGAATGTATTCTCTCCCCTTGACTCCCTCAGCAGGAGCTCTGGAGAAAGGGGTGCCTTCGAGACTGTCTGACACAGGAGGGGAGAGTCATCAAGCTGGGCCATACCTCCTGCCCATGTCCTGTGTCTTAGTATTCATGAAATGCTCTGCTGGTGATGTCACTAGAATTTTCCATCAATTTTCTTCATAAATCTGGCCCTCAGGAAGAATCCAGCAGGGAAACAGGAGCAGAGAGGAGAAAAATACATAGGAAGATAGTTTCATTCTCTTTGAGATCAACAGGTTAGATTCTTGGGACATTCTGGATATGATATAGATCAGACTTCATTTTTTATCTAACCTTTTTCTAAATCCATGTAGAATTAGTATCATCCTAAGTCCACTGGCAGAAGCTACTGAGAAAGGTCACAGTCCCTGGATTCCTTTAGGCAGAAATTCTGTGAGTGCTCATATATTCTGAGTGCTTCAATATTGTGCCGGTGAAAAGCCAGAGTGATGGGCAGGACCTCAGAGGGTATGACGTCACAGGCCCATGGCACTGAGGGGGGCCATAAGGCCAGCATGCCGGCCTTTGAAGCTGGATGGTTGGGTTTGAGGACAAGTTTCTCACTCACCAATTTAGACCTTAGTAAGTCTCCTAATCGCTCCAGGCTCACCTTCCTCATCTGTGAATTGAGGACCAATAATGAATGGAAAGGACTCTTCTCTCCCAAGGATGCCACGACAGCTCAGTAAATTAACGTGCCACTGACACTGAACTCTTTGAAGATCTGACAAAACCACTAACACTTTCTCTCTTTCATATGGCAAAAACAAACAAAATGGAAACCCGGCAGAAATAAACAATGCGGGTACACACAGCCAGTGACACCCCACAACCTGTTTCTGGGGTCTTGTGGATTTCCTCTAACACCTATCCCAGCTTAAGCAAATGCCTGGGCTGCAGATTTATAGGCTGTAGCTTTCTGAGTGAAGTCTGGGAGAGAGCCAGGCTGTGTAGAGAAATGAAGGCAATAACCACGTGTCCTATTAGCATGAGAAAAATCCCTGAGGGGACATCCCCGAGATCCCAGTGCACTCAGAGGATGCTCTTGGAAAAATAGTTTGTGTCTGATTCTGACTAGTCTGTTTAAATGAAAAATGTGTTTAGCTAAGTTAAAGAACGGGTCTGCCCCATCTCGGTGGCCACCCTCCTTTCACTAAGGCTTTTGTGCAGAAGGCTGTGGTCCAGACACCTGAATCCTCCTGTCTCCACAATGGGCTGCTATCCGGTAACTGTGGCAAGGTCCCATTACGGCAGGGTGACACGCCTGCAGGACGCGGACAAGGCCCAGCTTATCGAAGATCTGAGAGCCTCGGGCCAACGGCTCTGGCTCTGTCCACCCTGGCCTCTCGCAGGGGACTGGATTTTACCTCAAGCAACACAGGGGTTTTGGCTTCGCAGTGTTCTCGCCCCGTAGGATTTCGCCAGGCGTTCAGGACCAGAGCCAGCTTGGCCCAGGTGGAAACGTACAAATCCAGACCGAGATCAAATCAGACGGAGGGAGACCACATCCAGACATGGAAAAGGAGCAGGAGAGAAAATAGCACGGTCTCGCTTTCCACATCCAGCTGGGGCCTTCCGTGGAAGAGCATCGAAGGTGCTCGCATCCAACCAGGCTTAGAGGCCACTAGGCCTCTTGCTTGTAAGCTCCCGGTGCCCCACCTTGCGTTTCCAGGTGGTGGATGGCACCGTGGTTGGGGCATGGAAATGTGCCCCCCAGGAGAGCTGCTCAGCCTGACCGCCTGACCCGGCCGGCCGCCGTCTCTGGGATTCCGGAGATCCGAGGCCTCCTGGCAGGCAGATGGCGGCAGGCCTGCGTGTTGGCTCGTCTCCCCCCAGCTAGATCAAGTGGCACGGCGCAGGCAGCTGGAAGGCACCCGCGGGGAGAAATCCAGCACTATGCTCAGAAAGCTGCACTCCATCTTTAACTCGGGCCCGCAGAGGAAGGCGGGGGTGGCCACGGGTCCCGGCTGCGACCCGGCCAGCCCCACCGTGAGGCTGACCCGCAGCAGCTCCATGTACGTGGTCGGGGACCACGGGGAGAAATTCAGCGAGTCCTTGAAGACGTCCACAAGCACCAGCAGCATGGACAGCAGCCTGTACTGCCTGCAGCAGGAGGGGGACCGGGCGTGGCTGCTGTCGCGCCCCCAGGACTGCCTGCAGTACTTGCAGGAGCTGCTGGCCTTGCGGAAGAAGTACCTCAGCAGCCTGCACGACCTCAAGCCCAGCCGCGCCCCCGGCCTCTCCCCCTCCTCCGCCGCCTCCGAGAGCGCGGAGAGGGGTCCCTGCCCGCCCACCTCCAAAGAAAGAAAGGTAAGCGCCGCTGAGACGCACAGCTGCGCCGAGAATTCTTCCGAGAGCCCCAGGTGCGCGCGGGGGACTTGGCTCGCCCCCTTTGCCTTCGCGCGCGCTGCTTAACTCGTCTGCACCGTCGAAGCCCCAGCTCGTCCTTCCTTAGAGACTCTCCACCGCCCTCCCCTCGGCCTGGAGCAGGGTGGCGGTCCCCTGCTGCTTCTCTTCCTGGGGAAGGCCCTGGGGACGGGGGTTCACGGTGTGTGCAGGGCAGCCTGGGGCGAGACCTGGGCTTGGGGTCAGCGCACGGCGTTTGCATGTTTGCATGGCGTGTTTGTCATGTGCCGCCCGCCTGATGGACGGCAGGACGCTTGGGCGGCCCCTGAACATCCCAGGGAGACGTGCGCTCTTCCCGCGAACGAGATGCTTTCTGACTTCGAAGTGTTTGGCTCCATGGGAGCCGAAGGCTGGAGGAGGGGCTCCATCTGCGGTTTGGGTCCCGGCCTCCTGGGGACTCGGGCGCAGCCTCCAGACACCCCGTGACATCACGGAGAGGGCATGAGAGCTTTGCAGGGCCCTGGAGGCTTCAAGCCCAGGCAGTCCAAGCAGGACATTAGCTCAAGTCCCGGCAGTTATTTCGTGGTTGCTACTCACTCCAGTGTTTGTACACAGTATCCCTCCTTGAGCTTTCCACTAATGCCACAGGGGAGCTGCGACAGACTCCTGTGTCTCGGAGGGGCAAGCTGAGGCTCAGTGACCTGTTCTGACAGGACCTCCAATTCCTTGGAGCACTCCTTCCTTCAGTCCTCAATTTTTTATTTTTTATTTTTTCCCCAAATGCCTGAGGTTTGAGGCTGTTTGAAGTTCCCACCGATCGTTTCCCTGATGCCTGGACAGTGGACCTGTCTCTCCTACATCGTTTCCGCAGAGCGTGCTGTGGGCTGTGGAGGCCCCATTACCTTTGAATGACTGGCCAGCTATCAGATCTCTAGGGCTTGGCCTCCCCCCACTGGTTTCAGCTGTCTGCATTTTATCCCAGGTGGCAGTGGTTTAAATAACCATGTTTGTTAACCCCCAAAATACATCAGTGCCCCCCTACCTACTCTTGGGTTCCAGAAAGGACCCTGTGACTGGCCAGCATAGTTCCTTCAGGGTCACCTCCCATGGCAGACGGGCTGCAGGGGGCTCTGGAGTCCCTCGTAGTTGGATATCGTGGGGTTCTCGGCTCTGGTTAGAGTCCCTCCAGTCACCACATTTTCCTGAAAAAGAAAAAAAAAATGCAGTTGTCTCTTTAGAAAGCCTGGCTCCCCTCCTCCTTGCCCTCTTTCTAGTTCAGCAGTCTGAAGGTCCAGGGAGGGCTTAGGCACAGAACACCAGTTCTGGCCCTGTGGACACAACGTGCACATTTCCTTGGGAGATGCCTCTCACCATGATGTGACCAGAAAAAAGTGTTTTTTTTTTTTTTTTAAGATTTTATTTATTTATTTGACAGACAGAGATCACAAGTAGGCAGAGAGGCAGGCAGAGAGAGAGGAGGGAGCAGGGTCCCTGCTGAGCAAGAGAGCCCGATGTGGGGCTTGATCCCAGGACCGTGGCATCATGACCTGAGCTGAAGGCAGAGGCTTAACCCACTGAGCCACCCAGGCTCACCCAGAAAAAAGTTTTAAAATGGCTTTGTTGTTCATCAGACCAAGACCTGAATTTTAGTGGGGTCTTTACCAGCTGTGTACCTTGGTCAGGTTAACTCGGCCTCTCTGGGCCTTGGTTTCTGTAGCATAGAAATGGAAATAAGAACATACCCCTTGAGGCAAAAGCAAGATCCTGTCTGTGATAGGACCTGGCACATAGTAGGTCTTCCAGGGCTTACTAACTCTGCAGTGGAAGGTGTGGGAGGCTTCTTAGTCTCCAGCAGACCAGTACTCTCCTTTGTGGCTCCTAAAGAAAGAGTGGGATGCCGGGTGTACCTGAGACATAATGGGTGCCCTCTCCAGGGCTAGCTGGGTGGGAGGAGCAGGGGATCCGAGAGCTCCTTTCTTCTGGAATGTCATCCCCTTCCTGCATTTGTAGAAAATGCCTGCTGATCTTCAGGTTTCTTCTCCTGAGCCCTTATCATGTGCTGAATTGTGTTTCCCCAGAACCATATGTTTAAGTCCTAACACCCTGTAACTCAGAGGGTGACCTTATTTGGAGCTAGGCTGATTACAGATAAAACTAGTTGATTGTGGGTATTTGGGTGGGGCCCTAATCTGACAACACCGATCTTCTATAAGAAGGGGAAACTGGGATGGGGACACACACACACACACACACACTCGCACACGGGGAACCCTAGGTGAAGTCTGGAGTTGGCTGCTACACGCCGGGGACCTCCCAGAAACTGGGTGGGGCCTGGAACACATCCTTCCCTAATGCTTTAAAGAGAACATGGCCCTGACAAGACCTTGGCCTCAGACTTCTGGCTTCCAGACTGGAACAATAAGTTTCTGTTGCTCCAAGTGGCCCAGGGGGTGGGACTTTGTTATAGTGGCCCTAGGAAATGAGCACAGCCCTCTGCAGAATTAGCCTTTTCTTCTCTCTCCCATTAGTCTAAACACGTCTCTGTTCTAGCCTTTATCATATTCTCCCGTGGCATGTTGCTTGTGTGTCTCCTTGGTGCATGGCAGCCACTTTGGTATGCGTGATCAAGCTGAAACAGCATCTTTGTCATTTTTCTGTCCCCAAAGCACAACCACTGGTCACTTATGAATGCTTTATAAAGTCTGGTCTTTTGTGCACAGATGACGGAAGCACTGGCCTTGGGGTAGGGAGTGAGCGGTGTTCTCTAGGCACCACAGCACCGTGGAGACCTTTTCTCCCTCCTCATGAATTGACCAGCCCCCAGCCTGGCCACAGAACTTACGTTCCCCTGTCTGTCTCTCTTTTCTGAAAAGATAATGGTTTTTAGGCTGTTCTGTTTAAAACTCTCAGTAAGAAATATATGTTATACACAATTGATGAAGTATTGAACACTAACTCTGAAACTAATGATTACTATATGTTGGCTAATTGAATTTAAATTTAAAAAAAGAAAAAATATATATTTTATTTTATTATTTTATTTTTTTTATTATTTATTTGACAGAGAGAGAGATCACAAGTAGGCAGAGAGGCAGGCAGAGAGAGAGAGGGGGAAGCAGACTCCCCACCAAGCGGAGAGCCGGATGTGGGGCTCGATCCCAGGACCCTGGGATCATGACCTGAGCTGAAGGCAGAGGATTTAACCCACTGAGCCACCCAGGCGCCCCAAAAATATATATTTTAGATACTAACCTAGTTTATTCAATACAACCAAAACAAAAATTCATGAGATACAGTTATTCCTATTCTCTGTTTGGTACTCTGGTATTTTTTCAAAACACTTGATACTATTTTTTTTTTTTTTTTTTAGTTCTTTTACATGCTGGTCATGACACACTAAATTTATTCCCCAAGCCACTCCAGGGTCCAGACTCACATTTTCTCATACCCTGGTAAGGCATTCCAGTAGGGCCTGCTGAAATGTTAACAATGGCTAAGGAACGATACATCAGGTTGCCAAATGATCTGGGGTCCCAGCCCCCTGGAGATGATCAAGCCAGGACGAGTACCCGTGTGGATCGTAGTGAGGACAGGCCAGAAGGGAAGCGAGCCTGGGGGTGGATGTGGGGAGGCCCTCCTGAGCCCCTGCATTGAGGGGTCCTGGCCAGGCCCTGTGACAGTCCGGTCCTCCCTCCAAACAGGAGGTCATTACGAAAATGAATGAAACACATGGTCTGCAACATTTTGAAGTCAAAACAAAAAACCCACAGCGGAGAATTTTTGTGTCAACATCAGGTATGAGCTATAGTTTGGGACTCATTGTTTAGATGCTCCAGTGTTAGAGTTTCCAACACGCTGCAAAATTCAAGTGGCAGAAGGAGAGCATATTGGAAGTGGGTCCTGACCTGGAACATGGAGTTTCTGAACCAATAATGCAAAGCCATCCAAGCCTCCGCCCTGGGCACCTCGGGCATTCCCGCCAGCAAAGTGGGACCCGCCAGTCTCCTCCTCGTGCCCCAGCCCTGCTCTTTGGCCATGGCCCTGGGCCCAGCCAGTGACAATCAGCAGTTAGTCCTGACTTCTGACTGTCCTTCACACGTGCCGAGTACTAGCCCCAGTCCACAGAGGGGAAAACTGAGTTTCTGAGACAGGAAGAGATTTAGGGAAGGCTGTGCGCCTGATGAGGAGAGAGCCAGGATTTAAACTGGGTCTGCACGGTGCCAGAGCTCACACGCTTGCCCATGGAGCCACTGTGCCTTTCAATCAGAAAATGTAAAATATCTGTCGGATGAGGGCATGTGGCCCCTCAGGATGAGGTGAGCAGGCTACTTTATCCTGCACACCTGGGCCAGGGAGAGTCATCAGGGAGATAGGTGCTTCCTGTCCCTCGTGGATTCCGTGCGAGGGGAGAAGTGCTCTCATGGGGGCTGCATGGCCCGGGCTCCCCTGTGCAGGAGAAACCCAGACCCAAAGCATCGAGCTCTCTCCTCCCCACCATCTGTGAGTCAGATTTTCCTCCGTCTCGATGCCTTCCCTGCACACGGCTACCTCTTGGTCCCTGCAGCACTGAAACCCCGAGTGTGCGTTGTCTACTTTTGCACTAGGAAGAAAGCTGGGTAGATGGCGTGAGCTCAGCCACAAGAGTAACTTCACAGTGGGGCGGACTGTATCTTCAAACCATTTCCACAGAAACACTTTATCATTTTTCCTCACTCATCCTACGAAGTACCTGAGATGAGCCACCTACCGGCAGAATAAAGCAGCCGCAGAAATGGGACAACTGGGAGAGAACAAAACATCAACAGAAAATCAAGGCTGTGTAGATCATAATTCAGCAGCTACGGAGGAGTTTGGCTCTGTATCTCTTGGAAGCTACCATAAAGAGAGCTGGATTCGTATTAGAATTCTGTCTAAGAGGAAGAACTCATACCCTTTGGTTAGGGGAAGTGAGATTTTTTCCCCCC